AATATCATGTACATGAAATTTTTTTGCTCTTTTCGTTTCCACCCCCTTAACATGTTTTCAGAGCTAACTCCCCCTTTCATTTTGCTGCTTGTTTACTTAAATATGCTTTAACTATTAAACTATTGGCAAGATAAATACTAGCATGGCCCTAGGCCATGTTGCCATTTAATTCCTTAAATGAAAGAAATAGGGGAAAGGAAACATGAAACGAAGCCTTGGGCTTCCTTACTGACTTCCAAGGCAGAAAGGCAGAATCAAAAGGCACGCTTGCACTAAAGTCTAGCCAGAATCGAAAGCCATGATTTCCTGCTGCCAGCCTCAATCGAAGAAGGCAATAAGGCAGAACCTTGGGCTTCACCATGTACCGACTTCCAGGCCAATCGAAGGACAAGACCTCACTGGTGCCAGCCCCCATTCGAAAGACACAGCTTGCTGCTGACAAGCCCAATCGAAGGCCATTTCTCACGCCTCAGGCCAAGCCCAATCGAAGGCCATTACTTCATTGTTTCCAACCCCAATCGAAGGAGGCCAAAAGAATACAAATCAAAGGGTTCTCCTGCCCCAATCGGAAGACACTCATTTTTCTTACTTTTATCGTATTTTTTCCTTCATATTTTTATGCCTTTCGATATGGTTGTAATAGTGTAGGTTTTATTTCTTGCATTCTTTATTGCTTTTGTATAAATGCTAGTAAATAGGGAATGTGTGGCAATATAAAAAAAATAGACAACCCAAAAATCAAAGACTAAATGCATGCAATCAAACACACTTTGCACACATGCACCCTTAGAGTAATCTCACTTGTTGCTTATCGGAAAAATAGTCGTGTCCCTCGAACATGGGCATTTTAGCAAAAACCCTCTATAAAAGATCATAGTCCCTCGATGAACCTCGATGTTGCCTTCGGTGAACGATCTAGTCCCTAAAGTGACATTGTTAAAGCATCCCATGGGTTGCCTTCTATGACTATACAAACGTCCCACGCCTGTCCCTTCACATCCAACGATGGGGCTTCTTACCAAAACAATGGTAAGATAGAAACACCTAAAGGAGGAGGAAAAGAACATCTAAGACCTTTTGAGTAGGTAGATTTTCTCCTAGTTGCTCGCTTGCTCACAACAAAAACATTTTATACACCAACACTTTCATATTGAAACATTTTCAAAAGACAACACTTTGTACACGTTCTTATAGAAACGAGAGCCATTACAAAGACACCTTTTTCAAAATCACTTTCATAAACACATTCCACAAACACCTCTTTGCACTATTTTCGAAACAACACTTCGTACGCGTTCTTATAGAAACGAGAACCATTACAAAGTCACATTTTCAAAATACTTTCAAAACCCACACCACGAGCACACATTCAAACAAAAGCAAGTGATCTAGCAAGCAACTAAGAGCCCGTAGATAACTACAGATGAAAAGGGTGCTAATACCTTCCATTTTCATAATCTACCCCCCGAACTCATAAAACATCTCTAAAGGTCTTTCCTGTTCTTTTCAACCTTTCCTTATTGGATAAAAGAAAAGTCGGTGGCGACTCTTGCTAACCGCAACATTGCGATCAAACGTAAAACACCCAAGTCAGTTCTCTCACCGCGTTACACATATTGATAATACCCTGGAGATAACATCGAACCTAATTAAAAAATTCCCTACACAGGTTAAAGGGTGAACCTCCATGCACAGGCATTGGAAAAATCGTTGTTGTCGAGCTGGTAGCAGGAAATGTCCTAATAAGGGACAAAACTGTCGCATTTTTAGTTTTTGTACCAACTTGTATAACATCTATATTTTAAGTGTTGATTTGTGTTGGATAATAAGTGTTAGTGTTTGTGCCAGAACGTGACATTTTAGGCAATTGTTTCCCACTTCTCAAGTTCATGCATAAACAAACATCAGTAGTATGTCATGCAAAACAAAACCACATACAGAGAAAACACGATGATTTTAACAATTTATTGGAAAATATTAGCATAGTGTCCCAATGGGAGTGTCAAATTGTTTACCCTAAAATTTTGTAAACACCGCTAGTCTCTTGTTAAAGGTTACTTGCGAGACCGACCAGGGAGTCTTAGAACAGTGTGCGTGAAGTTTTCTAAATATTGTATAAATAGTAAGAGTGTAAGTGATTTCGACAGTAATCAGAATCACATTGTAAAATTATAAGCAAGTTAAAGTGAAACTTTGACTGAAAAGGTAAAGAGCTCGACAATGAATAACATAGAAACGTAAAGTAAATTTGAAAGTAAAGCTTTGCATAAATGTAAACTGGTGATCAAACATACATTGCACTCTTGAAGCTCATTTATATCTTTACTTGGTACTATAAGTTTTGTGAGTTTGATCGTAAATTTGACACTCCATATTCTATTATTAGAACTACTATTTAGACTGAAAATCTAAATAACTGCTAAAGGCAGGCTCTTCTTCATTGAATGCCATGTTCTCCATTGCACGCCTCTTTGAAAACCGCTTCCATGCATCTTTCTAATACTGATAAGGCCAAAAAGTGGTTACTTAACCACATTTGTATATCACAACTTCCTTGGTCGAATCAACTGCCTTGGCCAAAATGTCTTTACTTATTACTTGAGAAAAAAGTACTAAGTCCATTACTCTTTCTCCATGCTATATTTTGACCTCCTAGTTAGCCACCTTCATGTCAAAATTCTCGTCGACCACGCTCTTGAACATCACCAAAATATTCATCAAAATTTTCCTCATCTTCCCCTTTTCTAAGCTGGAATTTAAGGTATGTCAAAAATCCCAGCTAACACCTATACATGTTCTCATGAGAATCTAACTAGTGATCCTATGAAGGGCTTTAGGTCTTCTAGATCGAGGCAAACTCTTTCAAACGCATCCCAATACAATATATGTGTCGATCTCCCTTGGTCGGAGACAAACCTTTTAATCTCCTAGTCTATTTATTTTACAATAATAACCATGAGATCATCATTATAAGGATGGATGCCAATCACATCTTTCTCTAAGGTCATCATAACTTCTGGTGCTTGGAGCTTGCTTTCAATCTTTACTTCAAGAAGGTTTTATATGCTTAGGATATGGTGAGTGTACCTTTTTATAGCGGGGTTAGTTTCCCCGCATCCGGAGAACCTTTCTACTATAGTGTTAAGCGTATAACGTGTGGCTTTGATGTACTCCCCTTGATGTCACTCTTTGGCTTTGTTGGGCCAGGGGTTCCCAGCATTGTCTCGCCCATGCGAGCTATATTTGTGTGACGAATGACATATGTCTACCTTCACATATTTCTTGAGGTTCCTCTCCTGTATTAGTTTCTTGATTTCCTTCTTGAGTTGATAGTAGTCATTAGTGTGACGTCCCTTTACCATAAGAAACTCACACCACCTTCTTGGTTTAGAACCCATCACGCCTGCCTCAGGGGAAGGTGGTATATGGATGTTGTGCAAGTGGAGTTCCTCGCACTAGATTCACTCACGGTGAGTGTTCAAAGGTGTGAAGCTCTCTGTTGCCTTATCAATCCTTTTGAATGCTGACTTGTCTTTTATGGGTGAGGTATAATTGTTTTTCCTTTGATGGTGTAAGCTCTCGGCATTGGGATCGTGCTCCTTGATGTCGCGTGCCTTCTTTTTGGTGTTACTTTTGTCGCCCTTTATGTAACACTCAACTCTGGTGACCACTTTTGGCTTATGGGCAAGGAATTCGTTGAAGTGTCCCGCATTAAGTCTATTTTGGAAGGTGTCATACCCCAAATTTGCCCACTCTTAGTGTTACCGTCAAATTTATTTTCAAACTTGGGTTTTAAAATTTCTTTGGTATAATTACATTAATATTTTGGGGTTTTTTAAATATTCACTTTCAAACCTATTTAAAAATATAATGATTTATTTCAGATCATTTGTATTTTTTAATAAATAAATATTTGCTTAACCTTTCATATACTTTCAATTGAGTTTATTTACAAATGAGTAACATAGCACAATTGATAAATAATGAAGCTTGCAAGTATGAGGTTGCGGGTTTGAATCTCTTATGGTGCACTTTTTAACATTTTTTCTATTTCTTTTTGTTACTAATTTTCTTTCCTTTTGTGGAGATCAAACTTTGGGCTTTTCACTCATTTTAGGCTTGGATTTTTGGATAACTTACTCCCTAAATTTTTTTTATCTAATTCAAGTCTATAAATAGGACCTTAGTTTGTCCTAGTTCGGTATCCGGAATTTCTCACACACACAATTCATCCAAAATTTCTCTCAACAACTTTTCACACACAATTATTTTTTTGTTGCATTTTCACTCTATCATTCTGACGCTTCTTTTCAAAGCTTTCTTTTTGAAATTTATTTTTTTTAAAAACAATTTGACCATGATTATATATGAGACCCCTTTTTATTTTAAATATTTTCAACCAAATAATAAACATCTGATGGTTCTTTTTCATTTATATTTTTTTTACACTAACTATCAATAATTTCCAACTTTTTTCTCCTTAGCCAATAATTAACAAATTAATCAATAAACAAATATATGTCTAAATTAATTTAATTTTTAGAGGAGGCAAACTTTTTTACACAAAATTTTCATTCACGATAGAATATTCCACAAGGCCAATTTTCCTACCACAACCTCCACTCACAATCACATTTTTTACTTCACACACAAACCTTACTCACGTTTAATATTTTCCATATATCTGTGCATATTCTAACAATTTTGCCAAAGTCTCTCACATACAATTTTCAATCATACTAATTCATACACAAAGCCACAATTTTTAACACAATTCTACACTTTTTTTCACAAAAACCTTTGTATTACACTTTGTTCTTTATACATCAACCACATCCTGTAAACTTTCTAGCACTAATTCGTCACCCAAAAGAATCTTGTTTTTCATGACATTAAATTTCTTCAGAGTCTTTGTACATATATACAATACCATGAACCAACAATTATAACACAAGCTCATCACCATTACAAAAGAAAACCTTCAATTTGAAACATCAAATTCAAACCACACCATCATCAAATAGCTTTTTATTATCATTCAAAAATCCAGGAAAGGACTCAAATGCAAAATCCAAAACGATAACAGTCCAACCACCCAGATCCGCGTCAACACCCCCGTCGCTTATCCAGACCCGCAAATCCACTGACGCGCGATCACCACCACCGGAGACGACGCCGCAGATCTGTCGGCGTGCTCCTCGCAACTGCCGTTGATATACAAATCCACGGAATTTCGCCGTCAAGCCACCATCCACCTCGAAACGGCACCGCCCAGGTTCTGTTATGCTTCTATTTTGTTTAATATTTTGATTCATATTTATTTTGTAAGAAGAACTGAGAAGGAAAATTGGAAAAATTGGAGAAAAGAGAATGAAGTCATGATAAAGAGAAGAAGGAGAGTTTTCTCTCTCTGTTTCATGTTATCTTATTTTGTTTTCATTTTATAATCATATAGTCCTTCTATTTGTCATAATAGGTTGGGTTCTTTTTTATTAAATCAGGTTTTTTGGCTTAGTAGTATTGGGCCGTGAGATTCCATGATTTAGGCCCATGAGGCTCATTTTTGCACCCTTATTTTTTTCTAGCTTTAATATTTTAATTTTTTTCATTTGTTTTATTTTTAAATAGTATTTTAGTTACCTTGTATTTATTTAAACCTTAGTTATATTTGTTAATCAAATTTTTCAGGTTAATTGTATTCAGATTTAACCAGGTTATCCTTTGGATAGGTTATTTACTTTAACAATAAATAATACGAAACACTAAAAAGTACTTAATATTAAAACAAATAATTTTCACAATTAAATTAATAATATTTTACAAAAATATTAAAACCCACACAACTCATCCAATACTTCATCCATGTCCTTCATGATAAGCGACACATGGCTATTTTTGGCCATGTGATGAGGAAGACTTCATCGGACTACCTCTGTATCCTTCATGACGAGCGACACGTGGTCAATATCTGGCCATGTGATGAGGAGACTATATCAGACTCCCCGCTCTGTGTCCTACCATACTCACTTCCAATCAAACGGCAAAACAGCTAACCAACATTAAATCAATTTTTTACTAACATAACAAAAACTCAAGATTATTTTTGAAAAAGGATTAAGGAGAATTACTTTCAAATTAACTGCGAACCACGTCTAAGATCATTCAATTTACAACCCAAACAAGGTTCACGGATAAATTCGAAAGCAATTCTATGCAATCTTATAAAAAACACCAACTAAACTTCAAACTACGAATTGAGACTATGATTCCTCATAAGAGGATACATAGGCATACGACTTAAAAATTGTGGCGAGTTCCCCTAACTAAAAAATTATAACCCTATTCCTAAGCCTTAAACCTAAACCCTAGTATCCTTATGAACAAGGTAGATAAAGGGTTCCTAACACCTTCCCTTCATCTAAAGTGAATCAAGAACTTAGAATCTATGTATCATCAATTAAGGTTATTCTATTATATTCCCGTATTAGGATAAAAATTAATGGTGGCGACTCTCATTTTAAAATCGGTTACAACAGAAGGCCCCATAAACATTTCATGGTTTAGTGAGATGGCCCTGATAGTGGCCTCAATGAACTAGGCGCGATATCCCCTCAGTGACTCTGATGGACCCTGGTGTATATTAAACAGATTAGAAATGGAAATCATCCTATGGCGGATGATGGCAAACTAGTGTACCAGTTTCTTCTCCAAATCCTAGTAGCTACTGATAGAAGCACGGGGTAAACCCATATACCATCTAAGGGCAACATCCCTGAAAGTTTCAGATAGCAGCATGCATCTTAGGGAGTCGGGCTGTCCTATGATGGGGACTTGTGTATTGATAGAGGTAACGTGTTTGTATGGATCGATGCACCCATAGAACTTGGACAAGGAATAAGGTTTGAAATCTTCAGGGACGGGCGCTCCCCATATCTTGTCTAAGAGTGGTTAAGGGTCCAATAGTTCCATCTCCTCTATGAGGTTTGGATCTTGTTGGCGTTATCTAATATTATAGACGCCGTCTTCCAATGTCTAGTTATTACGGTGTAATTCTTTTGTGGCGGTACGTATCTCTATCAAGGCGTTAACATCACTGCTACTGTGGGTTCCCTCTGGCGTAGGGGATTAAGCTCTCCTATTAACCATGGTTGAAGGTGGCTAAATTTAGGAGCAAAGGGTAATATCATAAAGGGTGATGGTGATGAAAGAAGGTGTGGCCTAGGTTAGTTTTACCGGGATCCCACGGTGGACACCACTATACTGGTAAAAAAGTACAGCTGTGTGTATTTCCCCTACAAAGGTAGGGAGACTCAGAGACCTTAATATGTTTATAATAGTATATGGTGATAGGAATTTCCCATGACGGTGAAAGGTCCTGTATGGTGGTATTTTTAGGTGTTTTAAGAGACATTCTCACCTGAGGTAAGAGGCTCTGCTGATGACCAATGATGCTTGTTAGAAAGCTTACAAGTTTTGACGGTCTTGTGTTAAGATTATAATGAGCGTTGTGCTCTTTAGAGTGCATAGAATGTGTATTAATTGGGATTTATCCCTTCTCCTTAAGAGGAGATGTATTTATAAGGTCTCTAGGACCTAGGGTTTTAGTCACCCTTAGTGACGCTAACTACTCCATTCTTCTCTGAGGAAGTTATTGACCATCTATATTTTAGGAGTTAGTGGAGACTCCTTATTTCTTGGCTCACGCGTGAGGGTTTCCTCTGGGTAGATATCTAGATCATCGCTCGAGTGACGCAAATCTTGAGTGAGGGCGCCCTGGCTTAAGGCATCCACAGATATAATGCTCCAACTTTTTTTAGGAAGAACTTTATATGTTCAAATTGTACCATCTGAAAGTGAAGTTAGCTAGTCCTAATAGTACTATCTAGAATCTCAATTTTTTTGTATAACAATTCCATAATCTTTTTCATTCATGACTATATAACATATTTCTTTAAACCTTAAAAAAATAATTCCTTCTTATTCAATTATTTCATTTGGTAACATAAATAACTGTATTTCGACATAAAAAACATCATAATCATCTTAAATTACAAGTATTATATATCTATATTTCTTGTCATCTAACCAGAATATGATTTTTTTATGTTCATTGTTAAAACTATATAGATTATTTCATTTGGGGCCTACTGGATTGTATTATATGGAAGTTTCAAACGGTTGCTTGAACTTTCTTATTTTTCAATGGTTGTAGGTATGGGGCACCCTTATACTATCAATCGAGCTAATGCATCAAAGATGGTTTTCTAAAAGATCCTTAATCGGTTTTACCCATTGATGCTAGAAAACAATTTACTATTGAACATGAGTTTACGTTATGTGATCATATGCTTAAATGTGTCATGAGAAAGTTGCTATATAGGTTCTAGGATAGTAATCAAGAGGTAAGATTCTAATATAAGCTTGACATTTTTCTACAGTGAGATGCAAAAGAAGTGCTAGGCATAAAGAATTTATCCAAAACTTGAAACATGATGACACAAAATCAAGGAAATTTAGATTCCCTTTTAAGTTGCTTAGGTACCACAAGGAAAATAATGTATGGACATTTATTATGATTTATGGTTTACATAATCATGGATTGAGTCACAAGTTAGCCAGTCATCCGATTGTAAGTCGCTTATATTTTAAGAGAAAAAATTGTTTCTAACATGACAATGAACATGACTCTGCCCAAAAAACACACTCGCAACATTGAAATGAAGAAGATCTAAAATTATCTCAAATATTAAGCAATTTTATATTGTCCTACACAAAAGAAAAAGTGAATTAGGGGTCCAAGAACTACATATAACCATTTTTGAAACAATTGAATAAACATCAATTTGTTTTTAGGTATATAGTGTGTGAAGATGGAAAGTTTGTTCGAGATATATTTTGGACGAATTATTTTCTGGGTCGGCCATATAGAACCCATCCGGCAATTCTTATGGACTGTATTAATTCTAGAATCTTCTTATCATGATCACTTTCTTCATGACATTAATAAATGTATCAACTTCAAGTGCATCAAATGACTCTGCAATCCACTCCTACCA